TTGTATTGTATTGTATTGTATTGTATTGTATTGTATTGTATTGTATTCTATTGCTTTATTAAAAGTTTTCCATGTCAAGTATGCAACAGCAGATTTAGACCAAAAGAAGCAATAAAAATCATCTAACGCAAAAAAATAGTTTAAGAATCGCTTTTCAGTCAGAGCTCTGGACTTGAACTTCTCTGTGGTAATCATGACGGCAACCAGAGAGGAGTCTGTTCGATTAAATTGGGATTACACGTCTCCACGCTACAACACGTTAACTGGGTATTTTTTGTCTTCTAGGTCAATAAAAACCATAGTCAAATAGATCAGGAGTAACCAGCATTCTTTTTTAAAACTCCTTGGAACTTCGACACCCTCATCACATTCCTTGCACTTTTCTGATACAGGAAAAACAAACAGGGATAAGAAGGGAAAAGAGGTTTTGTTTGTTCACTGCATTTTTTACATTTCTTCTTCTGATTGTTTTGTTTCGCAGACTGAAGGAACAACAGAGTTATCGTTTCCAAATTCAAGGTTTATTTTCATTTCCTATAAGCAAGAGATCAATTAAACTCTTGGTGAGGATGTCGGCACACAGAGTTGTTCATAAGAGTCCATCTTTATTTATGGTGGAATAATCTAAGCATGGAGGCTTAGCTTTGAATTTTTATTTGTGTCTGGTATTCAAGAGGATCTGCTGGTATGTTGAAACTTCTGGGATATTAGTGAGAGCTGATTATTTGGCGGCACAGAAAAAGGCAGCATGGTTTTATGTTGTTTCACACGAACACCTCTCATCAGAAATATAAATTTCAGTCGAGGTCTTTTTTTGCACTTTGAATTAGTCTTAGCTCTGTGATGGATTGATCTGTCCAGGGAGGAGCTTCCATCTATTTCAATGACAGCTAGAATCAGCCTCATCCTTCCTGCAATCATAAACAGAACAATAAATAAATAAAAATAGTGTGACAAATGAATAAATTACTTTTATTTTAACAATATGATGAAATATGAGACATAAAAGTATGGATGTTTAAAGGTAAACTGGGAATTTCAATGAGTTTCATTCAACAAAAATATAAATTTGAATCAGGTTTTGTTAGAATTACTGTAATTTAATTGATGTCCATCTATCCATGCATCCATTATCTTTTACCCGCTTCTTCCTTTTTGAGTCACAGGGGTCACTGGTGCCTATATCCAGCAGTCACCGTGCGAGGGGCGGGGTACGTCCTGGACAGGTCTCAGTCCATCACAAGGACACAGAGACAAACGAGACAAACAACAATTCACTCTCTCACTCACACCTAGGAACAATATAGAGTTACCAATCAGACTAACATGCATGTTTTTGGTCTGTGGGAGGAAACCAGAGTACATGGAGAAAACCCACGCATGCACGGAGAGAACATGCAAACTCCACTACAGGGTGACCCCCACCCCAGCTGGGATTTGATCTGGTGACCTTCTTGCAGAGAGGCAGCAGCTCTACCAAGTCAACCATCATGCTGCCTTAATTGATGTCTTTATACAAAACTCCCAAGGTAAGGTCCAAGATACCCTAGAAGGTAAAACAAAAATTATTATTATTATTTATTTTTTGCTCTTTTTTGTTTTTAGTTTGCATCTTTAGTGCAAAGCACAAATTACAATTACTTTGATAATTGGTCAGTAACCCGATGTATTTAGTGTTTGTGACACACTGTGTTGCTAAAAAAAAAAAAGGATTTTGTAATTTTCTGTCATTTTAAAAATTCTAGTGTAAGCTGTTATTGAACTGACTGACTGATGATTCAGCAAGTTTATGAGAAACGCTAAACTCCTTTTCATAACAGCATGATTCAGTCATCTGAATGGCTTCTTGCAGAATATGTCCTTTTGAATCTCTGACTCAAACGAATATCACCATAGTTAAAAATGAACCATCGTTACATGAATTAAAGCTGGTCCAGATATTCAAAAATGTTATTTTTATGTGTGTAGGTTTTTTTTGTTGTTGTTGTTGTTGTTTTTTAAGGATAAGACACTGTCCTTGACTGATGTTGCTATCTAAAACAATCTGAACAAGCTAAGCAACGTAATCTCCATTTAAGAACATGACGATAACAAGAAGTTTTAAAAGCAGGTTAAAATTACCAATAAATTAGGATAATTCAGAAAGAACAATTACATTTGTATGTGCTGGCTGGGGGTTGAAGCAGGAGGGTAAATGTCAGGAACAGTATGTAATAAATCACTGCAAAAAGAATATTTTACAAACAAAATCACGCATTTCAGAAGCATAAAAGTTCCATGAATGACCTAATTGCTATTTGATCTATGAGTTGGGGACTATGCAGCTCAATTTTCTGAGCTGAAATTGCACTTTTTTATACCAGTAGCACCACTAGTAATTATGTGAAGAGTGTTTGTACACTTGTTGTCATCCTCTTACAGTGCTGTTATTGCTAGTATCACTCAACCCTCTGTGAATAGCAAGCAGCCATGATCCTCTTTTATCATGTGAACAGCTAGTTTTGGCAAACTGGTTGATCCACTATGATAAGGGGCCATTTATAATTGCAGCTCCTCAGACTAAAGAAGTACTTTGGATAAAAGACTAAATGTTTCAACAAGGTGTTTATTTTATTATTATTATTTTTTAATATGTCCAGAGGACCTGACTTAACATTGTTAGATTTTTCTGCCTGGATTATTGAGCATGCATCAAGATGTTTTATATTGTTGTCTGTTAAAATTAAAAGCATGCATTTGTGCAAATGTTTTTGACATACATTTATCTGTTTGATTTTTTTTTTCTCAGCATTTTTTAATTAGTTTTAAAAATTATAGCTTTAATTTAAGAATACTATTTGCATGGAAATACTCTCAAAAATCCGTTTCTAATTAGTTGTCATAATATTTTCCATTATTTGTTGCAGAGAGTCCCTCGGAGATGACGTGATCGTTTGGGTGGTCTTGTAAGAGACTTGTGGAGGGGGGTGGAGGGGGCTGAAACGACTGATTGGGAGTTGTCTGTTTTTTATCTGATTCCCCTTCAAGTGCTGTCAGTGATCCTTACTCCTGGAGTAACAAACAAAAGTATCCATGTTGTGACATATTAAGGTCAAATTGAAGTTAAAGTGGTTCAAATTTGCCTGAATTGAAGCCAACATGTTCTGACATTGAGCTCTAACAGTCAGTCTCTGTAGTCAAACTGTTACTGCTTGAATAAGAGGAAAATTTACCTTGGGATGCAGCTATTTAAAGGCACTACTCTACAACTCACAAAAGTCCAAAGACCAGAGAGTGTTGCACAGGGAGGTGTCGGGAGAGCGGAGGAGGGAGGGTGAGGAAGCAGAGGGAGGGATGTGTGAGACCAGTCTTTTGGATTTCTCATTAATTCAGTGTGACCCTCTTTCAGTTTTTTTTTTTTAAGCCCGCCCACTGACCATTATCAGCACGGGCCTTATATATGCAGCCTGTTGCTGTTGTTTGTGCGCATGCAAACTTTGCAGAGGAGCAGCTCAAACTTCGCAGCCAACCCCATCAAACACCATGAGAGAGTTCAAGAGCAAGGAGTTCTGGAGGGCCGTTCTGGCCGAACTGGTCGGCATGACCCTCTTCATCTTTCTCAGCATCTCCACGGCCATTGGGAACCCCAACAACAGCAACCCAGACCAGGAGGTGAAGGTGTCACTGGCATTTGGACTTGCCATTGCAACACTGGCCCAGAGTTTGGGGCACATCAGTGGAGCCCACCTGAATCCTGCGGTTACACTCGGGATGCTCGCCAGCTGCCAGATCAGTGTGCTCAAGGCAGTGATGTACATTGTGGCACAGATGTTGGGTTCAGCCCTGGCCAGTGGTATCGTGTATGGAGCGCGTCCAAATAACACCAGTGTCCTGGGGCTCAACTCTGTAAGTATTTCTCATATTGCTGTTGTTCAGTCTTTTTTTTTTTAAACAAAGGAGTCCTGAAACAATCATTTTAAATTTGGTTTGCTGCAACTCTAAAGTGTTCCCATAAGGGAGACTAGCTTTTGCAAGAACGTAAATGCTGAATTTACAGAATTTATATCAGAATTTGGTTGATGTGTCATTGCTTATTGTCGAGAAGTGATGACAAATAGTTAAAGCATGCTACAAAGAAAAGAGCTGCAAAAACTTTAAAACTGAAACATCCACATTCAGCTCATTGATCTCTGCATTTAGATGCTTTTTTTTTTTTTTTTTTGCTGAACTTTTCCATAACTTTCATCTGAATTGCCAATTTGGCACTTGGACATTGTGTCAAATTTCCATCAGACATTTGGGACGATGCCAGCAGCTACTAAATGGGAAATGGTGGCGGTGATCAAGGGAAACCATTCATCTAAATAAAACTGAGTAACGAGCGCTGTTGTTTTTTTTTTCTCCTCCAACTCTCACAGCTCAACGGTGTCACCCCCAGTCAAGGCGTGGGCATAGAGCTTTTGGCAACCTTCCAGCTTGTGCTGTGTGTCATTGCAGTCACTGATAAAAGGCGGCGTGATGTCACTGGTTCAGCTCCCCTGGCCATTGGCCTCTCGGTCTGCCTGGGACACTTGGCAGCTGTAAGTTGTACCTCAGGGTCATCCTGAAAACAGTGCAATGTTTATCCAGAACTAGGTACACAACACTTTAGCTAGGCTAACCTGGAGAAAACACCACAAGGCTCACATTTATACAGCAACACTGATGATTTGTTGGTCCTTTTTTTTTTTGCAGATCAGTTATACAGGCTGCGGCATCAACCCCGCCCGGTCCTTTGGTCCAGCTTTGATCCTGAACAACTTTACAGACCACTGGGTAAGTCGGAAAATGAAACGCATGTGCATTTGCAAATTTGTTAAGCTTAAATAATTCAGTTACTCACTGACAGATGAAACAATTACACAAGTTAACGAGTTATGGTCTAATCAATATCCAGTTTGCATTGGACACTGGTATAAGAAAACCTTTTGACCTTGCCTGGATTCTCGTTTCCTTGTGTGGAAAAGAACGTCTTGCCCAGAGAATGATCGGAGTTGTCTGTTCCAGGTGTACTGGGTGGGTCCGATGTGCGGTGGGGTAGCAGCGGCGCTCATTTACGACTTCTTGCTGTCCCCCAAATTTGATGACTTCCCTGAGCGCATGAAGGTGCTGGTTAGTGGTCCAGTTGGCGACTATGATGTCAACGGAGGGAACGACGCTACCACTGTGGAGATGTCGTCGAAATAGTTACAAACATTTAAAGCCAATGTACATGTCTATACTCTTGTAAAAAATATACATACAAAAATTACAACAAGTCTTGAATTCAGTGTAGTATATTAACATTTTGGTGTTATGTTGAAATACCATTGAGGATTGTTTTCTACGGGTCATTTTAGTGTCACAATCTAATTCACTCTTTTTTATTGACCCAGTACTAACTTATCATCCAAACCGCAGCTTGAATACGCACGTTTGGATTGAAGGTCTTAACAAAGCAGAGTGTGAAACGTTGTTCCCTTATCAGTATTCGGTGTGTTGAGCCATATGTTTTGTATATTTCAGTATATCTGTGTCACTTCTTATTTTGAATGAAGAATATGTTCTGTGTGCACTTAAATGTCTTTCACTTTTATAAGTAAAATAAAAACACTGGGTGTGAAAAGGTGTTCTTTTGTTCTTCACTGATGTAAAATCACCATAAACCCACAAACATTTAGATGTTTTAGATCTTTGTATTTCTGCTGCTCCCTCTTCAGGGCTCGCCACAGCGAGTCATCCTCCTCCATCTCACTCTGTCCTCACTCCATCTACCGCCATGTCCTCTCTTAACTGTGCAAATAGAAAGTCAACGCTTCATATAACGCATCAACAAAACACAAAGAGCAAATAAAGTATTGCAGGGACACAGTACACACTATTTGTACCCAAAATGTACAAATTAAAACTGAGGTTGAAGACATCCAAGGCTTGACCAACTGATCATTTGCTTAAGAATTTATCAAACAGCAAATAAAAAAGATTAATCACTAATCCACAAATCAAGCATAAATAGCATCAACAACAAACAAGAAAGTATCTTCACCTATGACTTTCAAAGTGATCAGCCTTTTTTTCTTCTTGCTGCTGAATGAATCTCATCCCTGACGAAGAACTTCAATGGTACAGTCTAGAGCAGGGTTATTCAATTGGTGGTCCGTGGGCCAGAAGTGTCCCATGGGTGACTTCAGTCTGGCCCACCAATGAGTTCATAAAAAAAAAAATTGTGGTGGGGCAAGGGGGTGGTCTGTTAATTGCATTTATGATTCAATGCAACAAAATAAACACATTTAAAAGGTAACAGATCATTGTAAAACTTGGTTTATTTACATAATGACTTTAATTGCTGGATGTCCGGCCCCTGAGTTTTCAGTAACCGTGGCCCCCTGAGCAGTTTAGTTGAAAAGCCCTGGTCTAGAGACTTTAGTCCAATGAAATTTGGCAATAAATAAAAATGCAAACAAATAAATAAAAGTTTTACAATATGAGGACCAATAAAGAAACAGACAAAGATGTTTGTACAGGAGTACTCAAAGAATGCATACAAGAAAAAAAACATCTCTATGATGAAGAGTTAAAGTTTGAGTTTTAAAGTTTGTTTCACAGGAAGCACATGGCTACATTTAGACATGCATGGGTTTTGGAGTTTGCAGCCATTTAAACCCTCAACAATAAATTGAGAAAAGTTTACATGTGTATTTTTTTCTAAAAAAAAAAAAAAAAAAGTTGAAAAGATCACTTGAAAATGATGCTCAGAAGTTTAAAATACAATAAATCAAAAAATCAAAACCAATAACTGAATCTAATGGCAAAGTTTTCCATTATAACATTATACAGTATTTCTCTTCCCCCTCGATATGTTTGTAGAGATTAGGTATAGATTAAGGATAAAAGTGATGAAAAGGAGTACTAAAATGGACAAGGAATGTGAAAGTAAATCTGGAAGAGATCTGCTGAAAAAGGCTGAGCTGTGCTGACTGACAGCAGAGAGCCTGCCAGGTGATTAAAGGTGTTGTTGCTCCTGCACCTCAGCATGGTAGCTTCGTGGGTTTCATAAAATCTGATTCTTTGTTCGAGAACTTTTTTTATTTGTGGCTTATAAAATAGAAAAGAACTGCCCTTAATTTTGACATTTAGTTTGCAACATATCAGTAGATGAAACAGGATGTTGAATTTGAAAGATTTCCTTCACTCCTAATGGTGAAAGGCATCGTGGTTGGAGGGATCATTTCTGCTCCTTCTGTCACTCGTTTATCCACATTTGTCTGTTTTTAATCCGTGACAATCTTAGTTTGTGAAAACTTGCGGAGGTTTATGTGTTTCCTTAAACATAAATTAGCTGTTTGAGCAAAACTTTAATAACTTGCAAGTTGACTGAATCAGTGGTTCCCAACCCTGCTCCCTGAGGAACACCCTCCTGCATGTTTTAGTTGTTTCTCTGCTCCAACACACCTGATTTGTATGAAAAGGTGATGAACAGGCTTCTGCTGAACTTAAGGAAGTATTTAAACACAGAATCAGGTGTTGGAGTAGAGAAACAACTATAGCATGCAGGGTGGTGTTCCTCAAGGATCAGGGTTAGGACCACTGGACTAAATTAATTACATCAAAGCCTCAAGGATTAATTTGTTTGTTAATAACACTTTCTCTTCACTGTAACACTGGAAAATCTCAGCTTGTTGTGCTGGATACCACTTTGCTCTGTCTACTTCAAGGATTCAAGGTTCTTTATTTGTCATTTGCACCACATGTGGTACATGTGGTGGAACGAAATTGTGTACACAGGGTCCCAGTTACATACTAACAAAAGTGAAAACCCCCAAGCCAAATTGATATTAGATTAAGAGGAGACAGGCAGAATTTAAATGTCTTCACCTTGTGTTCTAGAAACAAGCGGCCTACTGAGAGTTGATGGGCTGGCTTTGTATCCATGCCCAGGATAGAGCCCAGATTTTAATTTTGTTAAAGTGATCATATATTAATCCTGCTCGTCCTGCACGCTCTGCTGTCACCTCAGCCCCTCGGATCAACTACTATCACTCTCACCAATAATCCTGTTCATATTCCTGTGTTGTTTGCACAGGAATGATAAGCTGCCTGTTTTAATTCATGGCCTGCATATGGAGTTTATTTTTATCTAGTCCAGTTTTGATTTGTTTGCCTTTGCTCGCCTGCGGGCAAATCTGACCTGATGAAGGACTTTTGCTACGTCTCCTCTGTTCACTTCTGTTTTTCTTTTATTTGGCTCTCTGCTCTTTCTGCTGCCTATGAACCCTATTGTATCAAGCTGATCTCATTTTGGGCGGATCTCCTCTCTTATGAAATATTGTGATTCATTAAAGAGATTATCACTTTCGGCCCAAAAGTCAAAACCTGCTGTTTGCAGGATTTTTAGACCATCAAAGCTCTTGGTGTGAGTTTTTATTGAGAAACTATAAAGAAAAATCTTTAGATTTGCACGTATGTGCCCCATCGGTCATTCCTTGAGGTTCTGTTTACATGTGAGGCCTCACGGTTTTCCATGAGATGTGAGTAACCTTCCTTTTCATTGTTTGAGTTGTTGAGCTGCATGTGTATTGATCGCCCTCTTTTTTCACTCCTGTTTAACTTTCCTTCCTCTCCCTTTCTCTGCTTCCACTTACACTAAGGCGCACTTCGGAAACTACTGCACCTTTAAATCAAATGAAAGAACTTGCCATTTAAGTGCCATTTGTGACTTGGTGTATAATTGTAAATGTGATTTGCAATCCAGGATTACGTCACATCTAGAAGTATTCGTTCCAGGAGGGACATTTCTTTGAATTCTCAGACATAAATTTACAGGGCATTCAATTTTTTTTTTTTTTTTTTTTTTGACGTAGTCTGTTTTCAAGGAAGTCCTGGATTTCCTAGAATTTCAGCTCCTTTTTCAAAGGATTCTGGGTCCTTTTGGCTTCGCTTCTCTATATTTCCTAATTTATTCAGAAAAATTATTTATGCTAACATATATTTTAGAAAACTTTATAACTCCATTGAATCAAACTTGACTTGTGAACCGTTGGAGACTTCCTGCTGCCTGCGAGGGCTCTCTCTCGTGTTAGTCTATGTCACGCTGGGTGGTAACAAACCATTTAACAGTTCTAAGAATAGTGTGATGGGAAAATCACATTTGCTAGATAATATTTGAATAAGAGGCTTATTTAAGGAAAGCAGCAGAGGCTCAGTGGTAGTCCTTTGCTGTACAGAACAACAGCAACTGGGAATGTAATCTTCTGGCCCTCAGTTCAAACTTTTGACCAAGAATCTGATCGTCAGCTGCAAACGGACTCAGTGAACAACAAAAACGTCACCAGGTAGCAGGATTTATTTGTGCTTACACTTGCAAATTAATTAAATTATTGTATTTTTTTAGATGCACAGAAAGCAGAATAATTTGACTTTATTTTACAGATTTGTATTGATTAAACACATGATCTGCCTTGTCTTGGATTTTTTCCTCAAAAGGTGTTGACCTCATGACTGACAGGATTACTGCTGCATCACGGCGCCTACATTTTTAAGAGCAATTGTTGTCTTTGGAAGATTAGATTTTATTACTGGAGAAGTGTTTTGTTCTTCGTTACATCTGAAAGTCAGAGGCTGTGAACATATGATACGGTGCTCCCACTGGCACAGGATTAAAGTTTTAATAAGCTCTAAAAGTCCCATTAACCAGGGAGTTTTCCAGTAAGTCAGTTAAAAGCTACTTTTTGCTCTGACCAGTCGATCAGAGAAAAGTTTGTGCAGCAATGATGGCAGAGAAAGTTGTGTGAGGCAGTTTTTTTAGCACTTTATAAAGTTTTTTGTACCATAACTCATTAATACCAGTTTGATCTGAATGTAATCGCAGTAACTGCCTCTCGATCCGGTCACTTCCACATGATTCAGACCCTTTCTGCTCGTTTCTGTTCCACGAAGTCTCACTCACCAATATGTAGTCCTGTTTCTCTTTTTTATCATTTCAGCAGAGACAACCTGCTTGCTTTAATATCTGCCCTGCCTCTGGGTTTTGTGTTGTGTTTTTGAGCTCTAGCCTCTTTGCAAATCATTTATGTGATTGATAATGTTTTTAAAAAAAGCTTAGCATTTAATGATGTAAAAGAAAACCGAAAACAAACTGTTCAATTGCCTGTTTTTGCTTGATAACAGGATTAAGTGAGCCACTAAGTCGTGTCCTGGATCACAAGTTTTTCTCTATTCTGCTCATCAACTCATATGGAGCTGTACAAAAAGTGGTTGATCTTGATTATTTGATATTGACACAAACTGAATGACTACCATATTTTCCGCCGTACATGTTGCACCGCCCTATAAGTCGCATCAGTCCAAATATGTCTAATAAAGTGGAAAAATCCATAAATATGGCTTTGCATCTATTATGCGTCACTGTTAACGTGTTGCGTTTGTTCCGTGTCACCGCTGACAACCCGGAAATGTGGGCCGATGTTGTGCAAAAGATTGATTGGCTGCCAAATGGCGGCGGCGGGAGCATGCACGAGGACTTTAACAAGAATTTAACAAGATCAACACTTAAAAACAATTATCTGTTTGTTTGAAATTATAGTAAAGGTGTGTCCCAGTCTAACTTTTGCTTAATAAATGCAGTTTGATGATCAAATCAGCTGCATTGCAAAAGTACTCGCTGCCTCAGTGCTCTGGGAACACGCAGAGAGGAAGGAAATCAGAAAAGAGGAACGCTGGGCATTTCTTCCAAATTTAACAAGATAAGCACCTAAAAACAATTATTTGTTTGCTTGACGTTATAGTAAAGGTGTGTCTCAGTTGAACTTTTACTTAACAAATGCATTTCAATGATCAAATTAGCTGCATTTTGCCAGGGTGGCGCAGCGAAATTAAGCTGATTTGACGGTTGCAGTCTATGGCAAACCAATTGTGTCATTAATAGCTGGTGAAGATTCTCAGTCATCCAGTACATGGTAAATTCAAAACGTTCAAGACAAAAACGATAAAGTATAAAGTAAAGTATAATAAATAAAGTCCAGTTGTTTTTGTCTTGAACTTTTTTCAATTTGTCATTAATAGCCACTTTTTTCCATTACATTATACAACAGCATGCCAAAGACTCGAGTGCCATCTAGTGGCTGAAAATGGTAGTGTTCAATATTTTCAGTCAGAATAAATGAAAACGGTCATATCGCAGCCAAAAATTTCTTTATACATATGGGAAAAAATCTATAAAGACATCACTTCAGCTTATAAGTCGCAGGGCATGTAAATTATGCAAAAAACTGCGACTTATAGGGCGAGAAATGCGGTATATTCAGAGCAATTGCTGCAAATTAGTGACAGGCTAAAAGTCCTCAATGCAACAATTACATTGTTTGATATGTAACTTTTTTGGTAGTCGTTATTGTTACTGTTTAAATAAAATAAAATTACAGTCCAAAAATAGCCATCAGGTTGTTGTTGGAGCTTTTTAGTTAATTGGCAAGTGGGACCTTTTGTTTTGTTTTTGTTTTTTTCCTAACTGATTTTTTAGATTTATGCACATAAAGGTAGTTGGTTAGGGAAATAAATTAGCATTTAGGTTTAATTGGAAATTATCATTTGTTATGGTAAAAGAAAATATATGGCTTGCATTAAAACCCATTGATATTGCATACAAATGTGATTTTTTTTTTTTTTTAATGGTTTACTGACTGAGTCCTGACCCATCTGTGTGGCATTTTACACAGAGACAATATAAAATGATAAAAACAACTGTTCTCATATGCGAGTTTGTCAGAGTATTTTTTATTGTGGCCTACGTGTCAGTACAAAAGCTCAAGCTCAGCTGTGACTGACAATATTAGTATGTGACAGAGCTTTTTTTTGCACAGGGTGACATTCAGTGTCTGCCTCCCTCAGGGAAACCTTCACTCTGGTTTCCAGTTAAGGTCATTAAATGCTAAAGGGTTAAAGGGTTAACATTTGAGATGCTGTTGGCTCCAAAACGATCATATATGTGCAATATTTAATCAAAATGTAGATGTGTTCAGCAGTAAACTGCATTTTGTTATTAAACTCTAGAAGGAAATTCAACAAACACTAAATGTACAAATGAGATCATGTTTGCAATATAAGAACAATTAAGGAGCGGTGTAGCCGAAGGCAGAGGTTAAACTTTGAAAGATTTATTCTTCCTTATGACATGAAGACAAGAAGGAGTGTGACATTTTGACCTATCAGTTATTTTAAACGTAAAAAGCAGAACCGGAGCGTTGTTTTGTCATGATTTCCAAAGGTCGAGTTTTCTTCGCAGCAGCGAATGACTGATGTCAACTTCACTGCGATCAGCCCAGCATGACGCGTGCTTTAAATAGAACAAGTGAACTACAGGACAGGAGACGCATTTGACATGACTTCAGCGTGAAGTTTGTCTTTTACATGAGACCCTGAACAGACATGGGTGGAATTTCCTATCCATCCATCCATTTTCTACCATTAAAGGTCATTTTCTGTTATATTTTGTGAAACAGCTTTCATTTTTCATCACAGCTCACATTTAGCACGGCATCATTTTAAAACACTTTATTTTCGTTGCCAATGTAACAGCTCAACTTTTGTTTTGATGAATGGCTGTAAAGTCCTCCTTGGCACAGCCCAAATATTTAGAACAGATTCAAGTTCAGGAATCTGTGGTGAGTAATTAGTTCATAAAAATGATATTTTATGCTGGCTGGATAACTGTTTCATGGTTTATGTTCAACAGATGTTGAAATCACCATCTCATGTGATATAGTTGTTTAAATCAGGGGTTCTCAAACTTTTTGGGTTGAGGGACCCCTTACAGGGGAGAAAAAGTTTCAGGGACCCCCCCTATAACCAAGGCTGGCCCAAAGCATAAGCAAACTAAGCGACTGCTCGGGGCCCCGGGGGGCCACTAGGAGCCCCCCCTCCAAGTGGAATAGATTTTTTTTTTTCTTTATGATTTCTATGTGATTCTATTTAATATTTTAAGTTCAGCTTTTGTAAATTGTTGCATACATTTACATAGTTTTAAGAACTAATGATTCAACTTTAAATGTCTTTTTTAAACCATTGTATGTGGCTTCAAGTAATTGTTCATTTACATTATTTATTTCCTTGATGTTTTAGTTTTAATTTAATTTTATTTTGTCTGTTTTTGCACAATTTAATTTATTTTTATGCATCTAAGTCATTTTATCTGTTGTTTGTTGTTGATCTTGCACTAGAAATTATGTTAAACATTACTGCTGCAGTTCTTTGGAAGATAATAAACCAGATGACACTTTTGCTGTAAAATACATTGCATACTGGTGTTATTCTTTTTTTGTTTGTTTGTTTTGTTATTTATATCACTAGATCATGTGTCAAACTCAAGTCCCGTGGGCCAAATCCGGCCCACCATAACCATTTCTGTGGCTCTCTACACAGAGGGCCCAGGAGCAGAACTTTTTTTGCTTAGGGCCCAATGGAGGCTTGGGCCGACACTGCCTATAACCCTCATGTTTATTAAATAATTTTCTTCAATTTGTCTCTTTCTTAGTATTAATACAAGTTTTACACTTTTAAACATGGGGTATTTTTCATTCAAGACACACGTAATTAACAAAATTTTTTATTTCATCTTCCAAAAATTAGTTTAAAGAAAACTAAGAGCATCAGAAACCACTTTAAAACGTTACCTCTTCACCTCATGAACATTTGACACTCTTCTATCGCCACTTCTTCAAATTATTACAGAAAACTCTTTACATAAAACAGAACATAATCATAACAGCAGCAGTCATACCATGTAACAGGACTTCATTTGTAAACTGATCGATGCTGGAACGCAAATAGTGAACGGGTGGGTGGAGGGGGGCGTCGAGGGGTCCTCCCTCAGAAAACTTTAAATAAAAATAAATGTGATTTCCTGAATTTTGGTGTATTTTAATGGGTTGTTAAACATCTATGTGCTTGTAAAGATTGATTTTTTTTTTTTTTTTTTTTTTTTTTTGCGGACCCCTAAACACTGACTCGCGAACCCCTGGGGGTCCGGGGACCCTAGTTTGAGAACCACTGGTTTAAACTACCTCATGGTTGGTTAAAGACCCAGAAGCAGCTCACTGCATCAGTTAGAGGGAAACATCTGAAGCGTGTTCATTACTGCAGCCATTTTCTAATGAGAGGGTCTCATCTGTTTGTCTGCCTAAATCCAGTATGTAATGTTTTTTTGACAAATAAGCTACAATTTAATATTAAAAAATGTCTGATGTTTTTTATCCATGAGCAGCAAACAGCTCCTCCTTCAGCTGAACTGGAAAAGTGCTGACATGAAGGTGAAACGTCTCACCTGCTGCTAATCAGACCTAATTTGTCCCCAAGTCATTGCTGTGACAAGTGCAGGTGAATGGTACCTCCAGGCTTGCAGCTTCCCCAGTAGGACACAACCAGATTTCTGTGCTTCGAGCAAATGCCACAGAGTTAGTTAATGCGTAGAGGAGCCGATTGTGTCTGAGCAGCCATGTCTGAGATCAAGCTGTGGGCCTTTTGGAGGGCCGTTCTGGCTGAATGTTTAGGAACGATCATCTTCGTGTTCGCTGGCCTCTCTGCAGCCATAGGGAACCACAATGTTTCTTTTCCTGACCACGAGTTAAAAATGGCACTCGCCTTTGGTTTGGCCATCGCTACGCTGTCGCAGTGCGTAGGTCATGTGAGCGGCGCCCACTTGAACCCCGCCGTCACTTTGGGCTTGCTGGCCACCTGCCAGATCAGTTTTTTCCGGGCCTTCTTCTACATGGTAGCTCAGATGCTGGGTGCTGTGGCTGGCAGTGCCATGGTGTACGGTCTGAGGCCAGAAAGCACAGTCGCCCTTGGTGTTAACAAGGTAAGGGTGAACCCATGCGTGTCCAATTTGTTTTGTGTAATCTTTCTGTAATAAATTGCATTTAGTGCAAAGATTGGGTGGTATTTGGGGAATTGTTTGCAGCAGACTCTTGTTAATGTGAATGTGTCCTGTGCTCTGTCTTAAGAGTGAACAGCTGGTGATTGATTTAAATGGTAAAGCTGAGCTGTGTTGGTGCATTTAAGGTCTCCTGTTGTCCTAATCTTTTGGGTTAGAGATAATTCACACTTTTTTTTTTTTTTATTGAGGTAATACTGAAACATTCTGAACAATATAAAGGCAACTTTGAGTTGCATTAGTTTGGAAATATGTACTTTTAAGCTTGCTGCTAGGCTGAGCCAAGACTAGTTTCATTTTATAAACACTTGCGTCAATTTTTCATCACTTTAAGTAATTATTTATAAATTCTCAATTTAATGTGAAACCATGTGGTCTTTGGCCCTGCTTACTAGCTGTTTTTAATCTGATCAAAATTAAACAATTTTTCCAAACTTGGTTTGAAAAGTGCTGCCCACAAGCGTTTTTTTTTTTTTCTGAGCAATCATTTCTAAACTTTTTTTTTTTTTTTTTTTTTCTGCAGTAACTCGAGCTCCAGTTCAGTCTAATATAGTAAACTTTGATTAGTGCAGCTTTTACTTCAGCCATGATGGTAACTCTGTTGTGGATGCTCTAAAGCGCTGCTGTAACTTTTTTATCTCCAGCTAAAGTCCTGGAATATTCCAATCACTGACCCCTAAACATGTTTTTTGTTTTTCCTCTTTGTGCAGTTAAATGGAATCAGCCCCTGTCAAGGTTTTGGGTTTGAGTTCCTGCTCACCCTGCAGCTGGTCCTGTGTGTGTTAACGGTCACTGACAAAAGGCGGAACGTTCGAGAATATGCACCTCTGGCATATGGACTTTCCATGGTGACGGGGCATCTTGCTGGGGTGAGTTGAAACACGTCCTTCTGTTTCACTGAGGCCTGACACAATAAGCTGGTGTTGTATGAACTTGCTGTTGGTCAGCCTTGCTTGCATTGTGCTGATGAGCAGCCAGAAATGTAATTTCCTCTAATCTGGTTTACAGATCAGCTACACAGGATGTGGTATCAACCCAGCTCGATCTCTTGGGCCTGCACTTATCCTGCTGTCTTTTGAGAATCATTGGGTATGCATTGTGAAACTGAAAATAACGTTCATTCATTCAGTTTTATTGTTGTTGTTGTTGTTTTTTTTTTTTAGTTTATTTTATATTTTTATTACATTTTATTCATTATTTTGTTTAATTTATTTTAAAAAATTATATTTTATTTCATATTTTTTTCATTACACTTCATATTTTTCATTTTATGCATCTAATTTATTTATTTATTCAAGCAAGAAGGCAAATTTCTGTTGAGCGTTTTTATTATTTGCCTCAGGTGTACTGGGCCGGACCGATGAGTGCTGCTGTGGTGGCAGCACTTCTGTACAATTACCTGCTGGCTCCCAGAGAGGAGCGTTTTACTGAACAAACACGAGCCTTGCTTTGCTGCGGATGGGAAGAAGTGGTAGAAGAAGAAACAGAGCCTCTTCTGGGAGAAGCCAAGGGCGTGGAATGATTAAAGGAGCTTCTCTGAATGAAAATGCTCAATTTTGTATTATGTTTTTCAAAAAAGTTGCATCATTGATGCTCAAATATAAAATTTTATGAAGCCTATGTTTTTATATGGGCACTTTTTTTAAGGACAAGATGTGAATATATTTAAGTTTACATGTTGATAGAAGTCAACACACATTTTTTAAACCACCAGTACAATAAAATCCCAAAATAAAGGCATGCCTTTAAAACCATCAAACAGATTACATTTGATGAAACTGAAACATTAAGATTTTGTGTTTTTTATAGAACAAGATTTGAGTTTTTCACTTCAGTTCCTGCGACTTCATATGACACTTTGTTGCTGTTGGCTGTGATTGAATAGAAAACTTGAATCCTCTGAGGAAATTGTCGCAGGAGCAGCACAGTTTAAGATGGGTACAGAAAACTGCCTAAAATGCGTATAACGGGTACAATAAAAGGCAGCATGATGCAAGAACAGTACACTCGCATGTGTACGAACTGTGTAAAATTGTTTCAAAAACCTCGGATTAATTGAAGTCTAATGGAAATCGCGTCATGAGGCATATAAGGCTCACTGTCAAGTTTTGAGGAAATTAAATAAAGTGCGCCTTTATAGTCCGAAAAATACGGTAATTTAATCGGTGCCTCTGCAGCAGAAAGTAAATGTTACGACTTTTCGCGTATTTTTACCTATTTAAATTAGTGCACATTTTATATATTTATACCTGAGCTGCTTTGTTTATGCATCTGAATCTTCCCTGTTCTGTGTCGTGTCCAGTCAGGGTTGGTGGTGAGGGTCTGTTGGTGTGAACACTAAGGATTTATGGCTTCTCACTATATGTGACTGCAGTTTGTGTGGAGGTTGTGCCAGAAGTTCATCACGACTACAGAACGCGACTTTTATTAAGCCGAAAGAAAATAAGTTTTGATCAGATGCGTTTGTGATTGACAATCTAGTGATTTGACTGTAGGAAAAATTATGAAATATCAAATGTTTTAAAATTAAAGTTTAAGATGGGTTTTGAAGGATTTGTTTTTGGTCAATCGATGGTTTAAAACACTTAAGGGCTGCAAAGCTGCTACTTTTAGGTGTTGCTCTATAAAAAATTGAAGCAAGTTTTGCCGTTTGCCATGCATGAGTGAAGTGCATATTCCCAAATGATAAATAATTCAGTGTCATAAATATAATTCTTCATGCCATGCTTCACGTTTTGCCATTTACAGAAAAGCTCTGCTGTTCCTGTTAGGACCTTCAGGTCATCGAGGAGACAACAGTGTTTTGTCAAACATTTAAATGTTTTGCTCAAATGTAATCACTTGATTACTGGACTACGGTTGGTGCCAATGGCAACATGTTTGGTCTGAAATGTTTTTTGTATCCGCAGGAACAGGATGTCAGAACTTGCCCAAATAATGCCCCAAAAGATGAAAACAAGGCAGAGACAAATTTCTCAAATATTTAGCTTTTCTGTTTGCAGCAAATATTTTAATTTAAAATGTTTTCCTTTCAGTTTTAAAATTTTTACCTTTCCACTTGGTGTTTTTATACAATTTTTATTTTATTTTTTTTTTTTATTGAGAGCATTAACCACTCCCAATCACCAAAGTTTGAGACAAAAATCTGGTTCTAAACGGTGAGCGTGCGTGTTATGAATGACAACTGTCTTACTTTCCACCTTAAAAGTCGCACGTCCATATCATTCACATCACTCGAGCGCCCTCTAGTGGCTGAAAATGGTAGTGTTCAATATTTTCCATATCAGAATGAATGAAATAATCAGATCTCAGCCAAAAATTGGATTATAAATATGGGGAAAAAAAACATTAATTGCTTCAGACGATAAGTCACAGGACGTGCTAATTTCTGCAAAAAGAAGTGACTTATAGTCCGAAAAGTACAGTACTACCACATCAAATTTCAACTCAATATCTGTAAAACTCACTAAATTATGGTAATTTTTGTTTGCTAAGATTGATTAGCTGTGGTAGCCATCTTGAAGTTTGTTAGTTTTACGTGTGCATCCAGTGATTACTTTGAGTCTCATTAAAATGTCAGATGTATCATGAGACAAACGCACAAACAAATAAATGATGGTATAACGTTCAGGGAGATGCAATAAAAGTATATAACAAGCTACATATAGTAGTAAGAGTGTTTGGCTGTAGTCCAAAATATTTTCTGTACAGTATTGCTTTAAAATGTGTTGACTGCACATAAATTGGATGTGACGTGGCCATAGTGGCGATTTCCTTTCTGACTCCGTCACAAGAATGTTGTTTCTCCATTTTTTCAAACGTCAACCTGCTCACCTCTTTTTTTATGACTCGTAAATATTTGACAGTCTCAACACAGTGAGATAATCATTACATTACCTTCAAATGACTCCAAATTTCAGAACTGAAGGTTGACCAACAGCGATGTAACGTGAGGGCCATCCAACCAGCGTTGTTTAAACACACAAGTGTTCGCATGAGCATCAATCAAGATGAGAGGCACATCGCCTTGGTACTGTATGTTCCTCTGTGTGAGATGATCTTGAACAAGTTTATGAAAGTTTACAAAAGTATTCATTGGGTTGACATCTACATCGGATTACCTTTTGTACACAAGACTATTCAAGACAGCTACCACAGCTACTCATGGCCAACACAAAAATGTCTAACTCAGCCACTTGTGTGTATTTTAGGTGGTAGCTGAACATTATACCCAACATTTATTCTGGGTGCTACGCATTGTGCAAACAGCTGGGTTCGCATTTTTTACAACTTTGAGCATCAGCCCTGTTTGTCTGTTAGCAAAGAATGTCTTGAACCACAGGACAGATTTTAGTGAAACTCTGCAGAAGTATTGATTTGATGTAAATCTACAACTCGGTGTGTGACTGTTTAGGAAGCATTCACACTTTTTGTGATCCATTTTTTCTTCCGTATAATTTTTCTGCATCTTTCTCGTTACACAATTTTTGTGCTATATTTCAACAATTCATAAATCAAAACGTTCAGCTCTTTCAGGAGAATTTTTGTGCTTTTTTCTAAAATTGTCTTCTAAAATCAGCTTGTTATGCTACTTTCAGCTTATTTCTGCTAGTTTAAGCTTTTTTTTTTTTTTTGCTATTTCAGCTATTATTTAGCTGTTTTATGCTAATTTTAGCTCTTTACTGTTATTCCACATTTTTTTGCACTCGTTTAAACTTTTTTTCACTCCAGTACAGCAAAATTATGCTCTCGCCACTTCTTTCTGGTACTTTCAGCTATTTTCTGAAAAAATGTAGTTTTTCTTGGTAAGTCACTGCTACTTTCAGCCTAATTGACTTCTTTTTGCAAGTTTCAGCTTGTTATGCTCCTTTCAGCGTTTTTATGCTAGTTTCAGCTTTTTCTGCTATTTCAGCTACTATTTAGCTGTTTTGTGCAAATTTAGGGTGCATTCACACTAGCCCTGTTTAGTTCGCTTTAATAGAACTCTAGCTCGTTTTCCTAGAAAGTCCGGTTCGTTTAAGGAGGTGTGAACGCACCTCGACATCGAACTCTGTCACGGAACAAAAAGGCGAACTCTGGCCCGGGCTAAAACCTAGGTCTCGGTCCGGTAGAAGCGAACTCCAGCGCGGTTCGAGTACGGTGTGAATGTAAACAGACCGGACCCGCTCCACAGGGTAAACAAACACGTATTTCTCTGACCTTATATGGAGCCGTCAGCTGCCTTGTGTGGAAAAACAATATTCTCCAGGGTCTTCTGTCTCATCTTCTGCTCATGCTAACACCATTTATGAAAAATTACAAAATATAACTCCTAAAACTGCTAAAACGTGATGCCACTTCGTTTTTATTTTTATTTACAGAAGAAGAAGAAGACGTGTCTTCAGAGGTTTTTGTGTCGTTTCTTTCAGTAGTTCTTGGTGCAGCGCCCCCACAGGCGAGTGGGGGAATAGGTTGGTTCAACAGGTTGACTCGACTGCACAGTGCAGTGTGAATGCAAACTCTCCAGCTCAAATGTAAACAAAAGGTCATGAATATTGGTCCTGAACCGAACCGAGTCTACCGGACTATCTGGTGTGAAAACGACCTTAAGCTTTTCAGCTGATCCCACATTTTTAGCTCATTTCATCCATCCATTATCTTTACCCACTTATTCCATTTTGGGTCACGGGGGTCGCTGGTGCCCACGTCCAGCAATCACTGTGCGAGGGGCGGGGTACACCCTGGATGGGTCGCAAGTCCATCACAGGGACACATAGAGACAAACGAGACAAACAACCATTCACTCTCTCACTCACACCTAGGGACAATTTAGAATTACCAATCAGCCTAACATGCATGTTTTTGGTCTGTGGGAGGAAACCGGAGCACCCGGAGAAAACCCACGCATGCACGGAGAGAACATGCAAACTCCACCCAGAAAGGCCCCTGGTTTGAACCAAGGACCTGCTCGCTGAGAGGCAGCAGCTCTACCAGTTGCACCACCGTGCTGCCCATAGGGTATTCATTCAACCTTTATTTAGACAGATAAATCCCATTGAGCCTCAAGGACTCATTTACAAGAGAGAGCTGGTATGCTTCTTTCTATGCTTCTTTCTGCCTTTTCAGCTCCTTTTCAGCTTTTTTTTTTTTTTTTTTTTTTTGCTGCTTTCCTAATTTTGTATTGATTTCTGACTGATGATTTAAACCTAATTCAGCTAATACTGGTTTTTGTTTTTTTCTTTCTTCTGCTCATTTAGGCTTGGTTTTTTTCTTTTCAGCTACATTTCAGCATGTTTATAACTTATTTCAGCTGTTTGTCCGCAAGTTCTTCTGCAGCGAGCATTCACACTGCATTTTCACAGGAAATGCCATTTCTCTAGTTTAAGTTTTAGAGTCAACTTAATCCATGATGACCGCTACGGCTAAATGACATTAGTCAACACAGAATTGTTGATATCTCAGTTTTCGAGATTTTGAGCTAAAACATGGTGTGGTGTTCACTGAGAGTCATTCTCAGCACATCCTTCAGTTGCTAACAAATATAAATATGACAATGTTGCATGAGATTACACATAATTTCTTACATAATATCATTTTAGTTTACAATTCAGACATGAAAGTTGATGGGCGATATACTATCCTTCAAAGAATACTAGATCTTTAATTGTGACTGTTTTAAAACAGGTCAAAAGCTTTTTTTTTTATTAACTTTAAAGCAGCATTAAAAATATATATAATGCCTGT